ATCTTATTGAGCAAATATTGCTTGAATTAGTATTTAGTTAATATGCTAATATACTACTAAAAAGATTAGGCCGCATTTATCTTCCATTTGTGAGTGAATTTATACAATACTATACATATTCTGGATTTGGTTTCACTATGATCTCCGGTTCCTATTTTTAAGGTATGGAAATTACTGTTACGGGGTTAATGTGCCTTTTCATCTTTAACTGTTCCAAATTGAATGTCAATTTTAATACTTTAATTTAAAAAAAAAATGAAAAGTCAATATTATCAAGCTAAAACAAAATGATGTAAAGCAAATAAAACAAAAGGGGGCGGTGGTGGATTGATTGTATCAATCCAAAGTTAGTGTAAATCCATTTTCACACATACAAACACACACAATACCCACAAAGAGAGAAAATGGTACGGTGAGGAAAAAAATAATAAAAAAAAGGAACAAAAAAGAGAGAAAAAATAGAAAAATTTCTCCATACGCGTTAGAAAATAAGGCTTGAATTCTTCAAATTCAAAGATAAGTAAAAGCTTATTTATTGGAAAGTTATGTTTAATCTTATAGTTATTAGATTATTATTTTAAATTCAATTCTATTGAAAGTGAACTGTTGAATTAAGTATAATAAACTATGTAACTGAGTTAAATGAAAGAAAAATTAGCTTAAGGGATTACAGAAACTTTAGAAATCGCTTAAATGTGAAATGATTGTTGATTTAAAAATTATATAATATTTTAGGAAGGCGGTATGGATATCGGGACAGCTTACGAACCTAGTTGATTTTGGCGTACATAGTTCTGTGAGTGGAAAAACTTATATATTTTTAGAAATTATTATATTAATTATACTATTACATTGTGTGCAATTATGTGAGTTTCTTGTATATTTACATGATTATTATGAAAGGTTATTTCATTATGATGTATGTGAAATCATTAAGGTTCTACATCGATTACTTATGAACTAGAATGTGAAATGCGATTTTTAGATCGATCAGAAAAGTATCCATGATTATACACTTCTTCTAGTTCACAGAGGGGTATTGGCCGTATTTTATCCTATATGGAGGGGTCTTGACCGTGTACATATAGTTCACAAAGAAGTCTGGACCGTATTCTAGAATTGATTATTAGAGGTCTTGAGACCTGCTTTCACTCATGGAGAGGGCTAAAGGCCTGTGACGAAAGTTCTTTGCCCAAGGAGCGGATTATATATTTCAGTCAGAGGGTATATTTTTGGTAGATTACATGTGGTGTGATGAGACGATATTATGGATTATATCATGACTATGAGATTATATATTTCAACATTATAAGGATGTCTCCCATCTTGATTATCATTATTATATGCAAATTGTGATTGGTTAATTGATGTAAACTTGATTTCGATAAAAATGTGTTAATGAAGAAGTATATTTATTTTTGAACTTCTCCACTCACTGAGCCATCAACTCATATATTTTGTCACCATTTTTCTTATCAGGTAGCAGTTGAGTTTCTTGGCATCATTTCTAGATGTAATTTTGCATCACTTATAAATAGTTAGGGGCTCACTATATATTTTGTATCCATATGTACATTTCATGTTATTTTGATAAAAGTTGAGATTTCGGCTTATTTCTATTGTGTTGTGTTATAGTTTGGGATTTATGTGAAATTGATTACATGTTGGTTAGTCTTGTTTATAGGAGAGATAATGCCGAAATTTTGTTAAAAATAATTTATAAAAAGCTGCATATTGTAATTGTAGTAAACTTGATGGTGGATCTGACTTTTAGTTAGTATTTGTTATCGGCGCACGCCATGTTCTGGGTCCACTAGTGTTACAGAGGGCAGGGCGGGGCATCAATCCATTCTTGTCTATTGATGAAAAAGATGTGGGTGAATTTTCTAACCGTAAAGATTGATTTTGCAACAATTCAGAGTGGACAATAAAAGAAATCAAGCACAATCATGTGATGCATCAGACGATCTCAATATGAAGAGGAAGATCCTACACCATCTGTTGTGTTAATTCCATTTATAAAAGTAGATTTGGGTGTTGCATGTGTTAGCGAAGATCAGATGAGGTTGGTTCTTCGTAATTTGAAGTATCGATCAGTTTACATTCAGTTGGCCACGAGAATAACTCTTATTTGCCTACTAGTTTTGGGAAGAGAAATGGACCTTCTACTTCTAGAAGTTCGAAGTTTTACAAAGCTAACCCGAAGTATGGAAAGGGTAATAAAAGTTCAACCTCTGCCATGGGTGGCCTTCTTTTTATGAAAGGAGTTGGGAAAACAGATCGAAAATGCAAGATTGCTTGAAGAGAATTGTCAACATTCGAGACCTAAAATGGTTTTATTGGAAGAATTACGTATCCCCTCGATTTGCAGGTAATGTTCTACTTCTCTCTCATCCATTTGAAATAGTTGCTCACATTATTCTCTTTTCTCACAATAAGAAGATTAGAATTTCAGATCTAGTCTAATATTGGCCTTGTTTGAGCCCCATTTTAGAGGAGAAAATGAATTTTTGAATAGTGTACTGATGGGAAATGTATGGTTAAAAAATAAGAAAAAGTTTTTGATTTGCGTATAATATTATTTTATTGATGAATGTGTGGTTGAAATTGTGTCAAATCACTGTTGAAGAATGTATTTTAGTGAAAAAATGGGGCTCAAACAAGGGCAATTATTATCTGCCTTGAATCTGTGCAACTGCAAAGAATTGGATAATCAATTTTATTGCTTAATTTTCAAAAATTCCAATTTATATGCCATTTATGTCTAAGAAAATTATTTTATTAACTTTTCTAAATTGCGATAGCTAAGTCCTTGCTGACAAAAGGGGAATTTATTCCTTATCATCTGATAAGGGATAAATGAAATATCATTCATGTTACTGTACTTGACACCGGGTAGGATAGCAATTATTTTGTAAGCTAGCTGCAACAGATAATTCACAGGAAAGAATACGAACGAAAGTACCCAAAAACAAAGAAAATTTTTGTGAAATTCAATTCAACTTAAACTACAGAATGACGAAAAATAACCCACAAGTGGGTTATATAGTTGAGAAAATTCAAAATTATCGATATTCTATTAAAAATAGCAAAATCCTAATAATCATACCAAAATAAAATGTGTAATAAAAGAAGTATCTTGCCAGAAATCTTACTCAAATCGAGTTCGTAATCATCTCAAAAATGGTAAAGGAAATATGACCATAAATGGAAAAAAATAACAAAAAATGGAGATTGGAAAGGGAAAACAACGAATTTTGGCCTCGAAATTGACATCCATCGTGCGTAGTAGGGTGACTATGATGGGTGTGCCAAAAAGAGCTTTCGAATTGATGTCATAATTGCGATTCCGATAACCATAGTCAAAACATGTTCAAAAACTTCTCAATTAAGAAAAGATCACAATCACTTGCCATATTTGCGTCGATCTGCCAACTCATGGTATATTAGCGCCATCAATGTGCTATCTGACAACTCGACATCACTTGACTCAGAGCCTCCTATATCAGAACTTTGATGATGTTTGGCCCTACCCTTAGAAGAATAAAAGATCCATCTGTTTTGCAAGTTTTATAGACCTTTTGGCACCACTTTGCTATGCCATATCATTTTAGGAGTATGTAGTCGCTTTAAGAACAACATTTTTTTCTTCCAGCTTCCTAATATCTAGCTCTTTACGCTTACTTGTAGGTTGATATCGTAAAGTGATGTAGAAATTTAGGTCATGGCCCAGGAGGGTTTTATAGACCAGGTTATACAAAAATGGATTTAAATTGCACCTGTACATGATGTGTCTTGTCTTGACTAGAATTTTCAAACAAACGCATATCAAGAAAGCCAACAGCATGATGGTGCGAAGCCCCCTAGGATTCCTCATGAGTTCACTTCATTAGTAAGAAGAGCGATTGATGATTCCTATACTTGGATCAGAAGACACTCAAAGGCAATAAATGTCGAGGACATACTCCCTCAAATCTCTCCAAATGTGTGCATACTTAACTTTTATACTAGTACTGGGCGACTTGGCCTTCATAAGGCTGGTATTGAATTCTTTTTTGTTTTTCCTTAATTTCAGAATCTATGTTTTTCTTTAACACTAATTTCTGGCCATGCAATGTATGGCTTGAATTTTTTTGAAGGTGATATTAGTGTGTTGACTTACTTGAGTATTAAGTATTCATGAGAGAGAGTTACATTGAATAAATTTTTGGGAAGCGAAGGAAATATTTAGTTGGTGCATAAGGATGTCTGAAAAAAAAAAACAGTAAAAATAAAGAGCAAACTATATGAAGAAAAGTAGAAGATATGTTAACTTTGGATATAAAATATTGAAAGCAGTTAAAAATAATAATTTTTATTATGGATTTTGAAACAGACATTTTATTGAGATTAGCTTTAGAAGGAACAACTTTTGTAGTGGTATCTTTCAATGGAAAAATAAACAAGATAAAAGGTAAAAAGCATTTACCTTTTGCAAAGGAGTGTATAATGCTAGCAAGAAGAATGAAGAACCTTATATATATATATATATAGATACTCAGTAAGTTTCGCAATCGAAGGTGATAATTTATACAAGATTTGAATTTCATTATTGCTACTCAAACAAGGCCTTCTAATTTCGAACACATAAAGTGGAAATTGAGAAATTCAAGCACGATCAGGAGAACATGAAAAAAAAAAATCCATCTTTACAACAAAAGGTGCAATGTAGTTAGGAAAAAAAAAAGCTTTACAAATAGAATGTTGATATTTCAATACAGGGTTATGGTATAGAAATGATTTCACAATTGTTTAATAGATACCTAAATCTCTAAATGAAGCAACTATAAAATTTGAGGATTCACCTTTCCAGCACTATATCAATTCCATATAAATAACCACAGTTGCTTTATGGAGCTTTTCTTTCAAATTCTCGCACCAGTCTTACGGATTATGAGAAGACAATGTTTGGAAAGGAAAAGTATTTAAATTTCATTTCAATTCAAAAGTACCATGAGAAATCCATAAAAATAGCTCAAACAGTGATAGACGAACAACTCCAAGTCTTGATACTCATGGCACCCTGAGGATGATCTGACAATAATTATATGACCAAGGATTGGTTCACATTGGGGACTTTATTATTGGTTCGTATCCACGAATGAGACTTTCTTAACACTCAGGTACATACAAAACACTAACATTTGGAATTCAACAAAAATAAATCAATGTGCAGTTGACCACTTTGAACTCCTAAGTGGTATCTACATGCTATAATATAGCCTTGAGGCATGAGTAGCACGAGTTGTAGACTGGTTTGGAGTGGGCCTAAATGACATACCAAGTAGAAACTGGCAGTGCGCCATTGCTCATTGCAGGAACTGGGCATCGCATTTTGGAGATAGTATTGATTGCTATCTTGTTGGAGAGAAAAGATAATAAAATATGAGCTCAACCTTTACTATCGTTATCTTTTCCATTTTTTGTTATTTGTTGTATTATTGAATTCATTTGCCAGAAGTACATATGGCATAAATACTACCTGAAGAGCCTTTACCATGCCATCCATTATTTTAGGTTTAATAAGAGGTTCATCCATTTGAATACAATATTGTACTTGTTCTGAAGCTTTTGATGTACTTCATTACAATGCTTTGTGCCTAGAAAATTTACAAAAGCAAAAAATCAGCAATATATCCAACCAACACAAGTTTCAATGATTCATAATAGATTGAAGGACTTATTTTACCAATTTAACATGATTCTGTTGTCAATATCACATCCGTGTCAATTCCTTTATAGCATTTTACAATGTTATTATTATCCGTCGCCACAACTATATCAATAAATCAACACCCAATAGAAACCACAAAAACCAAAAACTTTAATATAATTTTATTGATATCTTTTGATTTATAAATAAGCATAAATGGAGCAAAATGAAGTGGAGCTTTACAAACTTCATCCAACGATGATGCCATTTTTTGCCCTTTCCCATGATCTCTGTAATTAAATTGAAATGTGAATAATCATATATGCATAACATTGTAGTCTCCACTATTTAAATATTCATTTCATTTTTTCAATTATCATTTTAGCGGACATGAAAATTGCACAAAATTATATCTGATGTAAAATAAATTACTTCTTAAATCAATAAGGACTGATAAATTCTATGTATTACAACAAAAATACAAATGAATAAATTTATGTGAACGTGTGATCCAAAACCTTAGGCCTTCGTGAAGTGGTTACATTTATTTATTTATTTAAATTTGATTTTCAAAATCTTCATGAATTCATTTTATCATCAGCATATCACTTGCAAAAGTATCATGAATTGGTGATGGCAAATATGAACCCAAGTCTTTGTCCTATCTCTATCATCATGTTATTTATTTCATTCGAATGATTAAAGTGTAAGCAGAATACATTCACAGTAGTACAATTAAAAAGCCTGAATATATTGGTTAGAAATTTGACAGAAATAGCAAAGCAAAAATAATGTCAATTGAGATATAAATGAAGACAGACATAATAAAAGTACCTTTGCACTGGCATATATAACATATTCTAACTTAAAGGGCTTTCTAAGATTTCTAGAACGATAAAGTAAATTAATCACCCACCTGCACAAGTATTAACAAGAAATTTTTGTAAATATAGATAGTTAAATAATATTTAACTCTGTCAACAATACATTACTACCTTTAATATCTCTATGTACCTTGAAAAATGAGTGCAAGTATAATAAATCCAGCATTAGATTATATATATAGTTTTAGTAAAATACAAGAAAATGGTACGGGGAACTTTTGGGACTATTTTTCCAAACTTGTAAGGTGAAGCTATTATAAGAGAAAAAGAAATAGGTCACTTGTAGACTTGCCACTTATAAGGGGGTTCGTAATTGCAGCCATTGTTGCTTAATGCTCAAATTTTAAGGTTACTTGAACATTCAGCAGCGTTTGCATCCCATAGTCGAACTTTGTATATAAACTTCTACTTAAAGAACTTCACGATGGAGTGAATGGAATTTAACCAACAGAAGACCAAGCAACAATGACATATTAAATGAATTCATAAAGTTCGAGCTAAATAAAACAACGCAACCATCCAATTATCTTAGACATGGAAAATCTATTGTGAAAAGTAGATCATAAGTAGCAATAGATGCATAACACTATGTAAAATGTGTTGAACAGAACATTAAGGTATATATTCTACATAATAGAAGGTTGGATAAATTTTTATATCATTAGTCAGAAGCGATGAGAACATATTCATGATGAGGAATTAAATAATATGCCTTTGTCTGTACAATCTATCTTTTTTATTTTTTTCTTTCTTAACTTACCATTTATTTATCTCTATGGGGTTAAATGTTAGATTGATCTTCCAAAAAGAGATTTCACAGTAGTTTTATAGACAATAATGAAATTAATACGTAAAGTTTTAGAATAGAAGCTTACCACCCAAAGTATCCTTCGATAATCTTTCAACATGTTTAAGCATTTTCTAATTTGGCAGTTGATTACTTTTACAGTATGGTCTCCACTATAAAAATAAGTATAGTGATATTAACAAGCTTTCTTTAATTTTAAACTAAAAATTTAGTGCATCCAGAAAGAGTGACAGAGAGAGGATAATTGCTCAAAATATCATAATTTGCGCCTTTAGTCCGACACTTTGAAATCTTGTGGGTTAAGTAGTGTTGTATTTGCTATCGAACAACCTACACTTATTCTCATGTACAAAAATATTTAAAATAAACAATTTTAAAGTTATAAATATTAGATTGTGCATTGAATTTTGACAAAGGGATCTTACTGTATTTTAAGAATCTTTCTGTATTTTCAAAATTTGTTAGAATTAGGCTAAACAGGGACGTAAAAAATATTCATTTTGACAGATATCTGTTGCAATTTTTTGTCTGTACAAACTTATATTCTTTGGTGAAACTGCTTCTAATGGATATCCGAAAACGAAGCATTCTATGTACTTGAGAAGGAAAACTCCAGAATTTGGCCTTAGAAAAGATAGTTTAAAGTTAGATTATATTAATATTGTATGTAAATATAACATTAAATTAAATAAAAAATTAAATAGTATAGTAAATTGTGGAGATGCTTACCCATTCTTTTGACAATGTAGATACAGTATGATTTCCAATTTTATACATTTATTTCTATGTCTTTTCAAACTTGGTTTGATGGAGAAAATGTCTGCAGAGATTAATAATTATTCGACTACAGTCATTACTGGTTCTCTACGTGCTTTGATTTCTTTTGATGTATGAAAGGTGTGGCTACAATCATATATATGAAATTTCCACTTTTCAAAATCAACAAGAAAAAGAAACTAAGTGTTGCCTGGATATGCTGATGGAATTAGTAAATATTTGTATGTTATCTACGGTCGAGCAGATACAGGCAATCTCCTTTTATGTATCGTTGTAATGCGTTGAAATTAGTTACAGAATGGCCAGTTCCTTCTTTCATATTTGTATACCAATGAACACATTCAGTTTCGAATCTAAGGTCCATGATTGCACATTCTTTAGAAAGCAACGGAGAACCGACGGTAACAAGCCTTCTCAATAGCTTTAATTCTATATCAATATGCTAGTAAACAAAAAATGTAAATTATATATATGAATAATGGAGAAAAATGAATTATGATTATTAAATTTTACTTACCACAATATTTATACTTTTCGTTTCATCTTGTATATTTTCTAGCGATTGTTTTCTACATAGATTGCCGATTCCATCGTTCCAATATGTGATGTATAAGAGAATTTAAATCAGTGTTAAATGAGTAAAATACCAATTATAATATTTAAGTTAGCAACGTAAAATTAAATATCTTACCCCGATGAATTTTGTAATATCCATTCTGTAATGTTTTTGTACTTGATGATGTTATAGTCTTCTAAAGCATTAATCGATGTTGTTGATAAAGATTGTATCTATTTTTGTTTACCATTTTTTTCTTTCACCGATCTTTCCATGTCTTCAATATGTTCAGATGTTGAAGGGATTTCAAACTCAATTGGACTTGTACGAGGAGGTATATCTTGTTGGATAGAGCTGACAATCGTTTCCATGTGTGATTTCTAGTCGGATAATTGATTCTGCATACTTTGATTTTGTTCATCAATGTAAGATTTGGCTGAGTTGAAACTGGTATCCACATAAGATTGCATGCTAGATTGCATGCTATGGAAATAGTCTTGTTGGCTTTGTTGTTGATTTTCAAAAAATTGTTTTTGATTGTCAAGAATCTTTTGGTAGTGAGTTTCTTGTTGTTTAAGAATGGCATGATAGCAAGTTTCTTGTTTTGTAGATTCTTCAATCACTTGTGTTTTTAATCCGTCATAGAAACTAAATACATCTGACACCACTTGTTGTCTATATATGTTGAACATCTTATCCATATCTTGTTTAGTTATATAGGTTGAGCTCTCAGAAGAAGGAGATCCAATTCCAGCTAAAGTGCCTATAGTTGTTTCTTGCGTATGTACGTTATCAGCTGGAATTTGTTCTGTTATATTGTTGGATTCACCATTGACAATGCTATTTAGTATACAATGTTGGTTGTCAGCTGGTAGTGAAATATTTGTATACCAGAATGTTTCTAATTCTTCTTCAGTAAGATTTAATACTGCAATTACTGTGATCTATAATTGTAATAAAATATTAGATTTATGATTTGAAATTTATTTATAAATAATGAAATACATATTTAATTGTAAATTGATATGATCATACCTGGAAGCGTGTACGAATACGACGCCCGAATTGTCACCCGATTTGAGGAAAAGATTCAGAAATCCAATACTGAAATAAAAATAAAAGAAATATTAAAGTTTTTATATGATTAAATTATATTTAATAGGGAAAAAAATAAAAGAAAAATACCTGGAATGCAAATGGATAACCATGTAACGAATATTTACAATCCGTTTGGTCATTTTGTTGCATCCTTCGTATTCTTTCGAGGTGTGATTCTTACAATGAATTTAGTAAAACAAAGTATGCTTTACGTCCCCACGGATACATAAGAAATTCATCAAGTTGTTAAACCATTCCAAGGGTTCTAAAATCGATGTATCTTCCATTTGGTTTTAAAACGCATTCGACGAGCATAACTAATCCTAACTTGAATTTATCTTCTTGATTTTCACACATGTGAAATACTTCAGAAAGTCTATTCATAGTAATTCTTTTTGAACGATCGAAGTATTCATCCCTTAGGTGAATATTATTGAAATTCAAATCAACAGCTACTTCATGGCATGTTAATCCGGTAATTAGACAAAATTTTTGCATGTCAAACCGGGTCACATGATCTCTAATCGTACCCAAACTTCATTATTTTTGTCGCAGTTGATAAGTCTAATATAAACTCGTGTATTAATTTGCTACTAAATTTTTCGTTTTGTTCATTATACGTACTTCCATAGATAAATCCTTGAAAGTGACTGCATAATAAAGAAGCTTGATCGTCTCCATCTATAAATTCTACAAAATCTTAAAGATATTGATGATTCACAAATTAAGTAATGGTAGCATAAAATCATTGATTTGGAGATAATATGTATTCTAACGACATCTGCAAAACATAAAGAGGTATATGATAGGAATCACATATACTTGATAATAAAGAACTTTAGCATTGAATATTTTGTTTAACTACTCTACAATAAGAAACCAGTTCTTGTCTACTCAAACTATAATTTTCTTATTTAGACACCAACTTAGAAATAGGTACTAACAAACTTTTAAACACGTCTTCATTTTATATTTTGCCTAATATGTTTGCTCAAACAACATTGATCACCATTTATTTAATGAAAAACAATATTCATCACCATTTATCTAATGAGAAAGGTAAAAAATATTTGTTCAACTTATACAATTAAGCACATAGAATAAACATAATAACAAGAA